CCATCCGCCCACTCCAACCCGGCCTCGCTCCGGAGCCGCCAGAACATCGGGGAGGAGACGGCCCGAAATGTCTCTATTTGGCAAATAACAGCAGCAAATCGGGGGCTGAAGGAGGAGAGCTGCCGAGCGCTGATGGAGACCACAGCTGCCAGCTTTAATCTGGAGGGAAGCTTCTGCAGCTCCGCCAGGATCCTCGGTGTAATTGTTATTCTCCGCCGAAGCTGTGAACTACAGCTGAATCCGATGTCGGGAATCAGCAGCGTCCCTCCCAGAAACACACCAGTCCTCAGAGAGAGTCGCTGTAACTACTGTTGAGCAGACAGCCGGCGACTCTATCAGGTAGCAGTTAGCAGCTAGCTAGCGTTAGCCACCGGTCACACAAGACTAAGGACAGGATCAACAAAACCTCTGGAACAATCTCATTTACGTCCACACAAACACAATAAACATCCCGGTTCCTGATTATGACGAGATGTTTGTGCTTCAACCAGCTATTTAATCGGACTTTATCATAACTGTAATCCTCTAAACTCCAAAATCCACTGATGGAAATATGTAGAAAATAACATTTCCTATAAATGTGGTTAAATATGAACAATATGCACAAGAAAGAAATGTAAAATCAGCATTTTTTGACAGACAGTTTAGGTTCTAAAGTGCTCTAAAAATCTACTAAATGTTTACTTAAATGTACTTAAACCCTGTAAAAACTGCAATATTTTATCATCTGGGCACCAAAAACGACAGTAAAATAATAGTCCCGTAAAAATACTGCAGTTTAACGTTATTTAAATACAGTTTCTGGCCTTGAATTTATATAATTGGTGCCATTTATTGACTTTTCAATGTTAAGAACAAAAATGCAAATGTAGAATCAGCACTGCTTATAAATAAAGTCATTATAGTTTTTATGTATTTAAAAATAAAAATGTTCAAAAAGCGTTGTCTTAAACAATCCACTAAAATGACACCATTTATCCAAAAGAAAAAAAGCTTTCTGGCTTCTGGTTTCGTCCAAATCTGACCTTAAAATTACAGTATTTCATCAAAATCCCTTTTTAATCGACATGTCTCAGAGAATTTGCAAAAAATTAAGCCACGTTTTGCAAAAAAAAAAAACTCAAAATCCTCGGCACAACAGTCACGTGATGATATTCAGGGAGTTTTCAGCTGAAGTGTCGGCAGCGTTTACACCGAGCAGACAGCAGACATGGACAGAAACCAATAAAAAATGTACGATGAGTAAAATATCTGCTCCATGACGAAGTCTCCTGTGATGCTTAATGAGCTTTCGTGGCTTCAGAAAGAAGAAGTGCGTTGAGTTAATGTCACATTAAGCTGGAGGCTAGTTGATTACGAGGCCCATCGGAGCGACGCACAGACAATTACATCCCATCTCTTAAAGGTAAAGTCAACATCTACATTTTTAGTCAGACTTTTAATGGATTCGATCGATTTGTTGGACTGCATTTAGTTATTCTTCTTCTTAGAACTCACTTTATTTACTGATTTCTCTGTTTATGTACAGATTTTAGTCGTCTACGTATGAACAATGTTGAACACGTTGATTGCAGGAGTTTCTCATTTTTGCAAAATATATAAATCATGAACATTTTTTTCTTGAAACTCCGTCAATCTGCACAAGTGACATTTTAAAGTTCATTTTTAAGTCTTAGTTGATCTGTTTCTATAGAGACTGATCGTGTTATTTATGTGATTAATACGCAGAAAACTTCGTTAAGGGGTTAAATTTGAACTAGATTTCTTCTGGAGTTGCACTTGATAAACCTTCTCTTGTGTTTTTATTGTGCTGAAGTGGCCAGTTTCTACTTTTATATGTAAATCTTTACATTTAATCCTGATGTTGCCTTATTGGAGAAAAATTAGGATCAACTGACTCATCAGTTGGGTTTCTCAAAACTGTGGTAAGAGTTCATCCAGATTTCTGACGTTAATATGCACAAACAGGAACTTTAAAAATCATAAAGCATCATAAAAACAGAGTTTAACGAAAGCTTAAAGAGGCTAAATGGTGACTGGATGAAAATATGAGCAGCAGGTTTTCTCGTCTACAGCTGTAAAGTTCACTCTGAAATGAGTTTTTCAAACTCAATCGACCGACGTGAGGACATTTAATTTATAACGCACATCTGAAACATGCCCGATATTCTCTCGGTTCATTAGCGACCAACAAGTTGGATCCATTAATACAAACCCCTGAAGCTTGACCTGACCGGGGCTTTAGTGGACGGGATCAGGCCCGACTCGCCCCTCTAAGCCACAGCATCCATTTTTGGAGGCAGAGGGCATTAAGGAACAGTTCAGTCAATATCAGCCAGCAGCGTTCCAGCAACTTGTTCTCCAAACGGGGCTGTTGGTGAGCGACATCAATATTAATGGCCGAACACTGAGACCTCATTATGCTGAAGGTCACGGCTCCATGTGGGTTTAAAGCAGACGAAGACGAACTGAACTCTTTAACGTTTACGGCGGAGAGGAAACGTTCGGCCGCCGCAGGACGAATCCCGAAGCCGCTGCTTACACGCCGGAAAAAAAAAGTTCCACATTTTCAATCGTAAAGCTGCAAAAGCGTCTCTCTGACGTTTAATGTGTGCAAAGTGGATTCAGTCATTAAGATGCAAACAAAAACAGGGAGGCTGATTTATGGCACCGGAGGGACTCTGAGCTCTACAGTATCTGTAGCGTTTCAAACACGAGGCGCTCACCTGCGTTTTCTGACTATCATGTAACATGAAGCCTCTTTAAAGCCACTGAGTAATGATTATGCTAATGCGACTCCTTTTCCAACTCCGTCTCTCTGCACATGAGCAGAGCTGCCGTGCTGAGCGAATCACTGCATTAGAGCAAAAAGGAAAAACTACAGGGTGCAAATTAATCTGCTGAACCTTAAAAAAAAACACCACAAGTGAACATGTCGGAACACGTTTCTGTGGAAAAATAAATGTGACAAATTTTGAATGACGAGTTAAATATTAATCATTAATCAAATAACTGCTGTTTGTGATTAAACTGATTTAAAATACATTAACCAATGAGACAGAACACGAAACATAAACAATGCCTGAACTACTGCGTGAAAGCAAAAAGAAAAACGAGAACGTGTTTTTTTTCTTAAAATTATTATTTTTTTAAAAGTGACAAATATTGTATGACTCAGAATTAAGGATGCAAAAGATTATTAGTTACTTGCAACCATCGGCTGCACAGTACTGTTCCCAGTGCATTGTGGGAAACTTTAAGCGACTATATAAGGTGGAACAATTGTAGCTTAGCACTCGGACAGCACTGCAAATGCTTTGTAGTCTGTATTGCCTGATTTTGGACACAGTTCAGACTTCCATTGGCTAATAAAATAAACCACGACAAAGTGTCCCGTGACGCTCAATGAGCTCTTACTGCTTTAGAAAGAAGACGTGCGTTAAGCTAATGTCAAATTGAGCTAGCGGCTAACTGATTACGCCAGAAAAAGAGGCCATATGAGCAGCACATAGCACAATTACTTCAATTAAATTTGTTTTTTTATAGCGCGCTTTACAACAAATGTCATCTCACAGCGCTTACCGTAGGAAGGTGAAGACTTTACGGACTACAACCCATTTCTTTAAAGGTAAAGTCAACATCTATATTTTTAGTCCGACTTTTAATGGATTCGATTGATTTGTTGGACTGCTTCTATTTATTCTTCTTCTTAGAACTCATTTCATTTATTGATTTCTCTGTTTATTTACAGATTTTAGCCTGTCGCCTACTTCACTTTGAGTTGTTGATTTAATCTGTAGACTTCTACGCTGCCCTTCACTTATCCAAATGTATTTTATTTTATCTTATTATTAATCTCATCTGGAGTTTATAACATGACATTGGGGGTTGTTTGTATTGTTTTATTGCATTTTTATTCCTTTCACATGTGAAGCACTTTGTGTGACATTTCATTTGTCGTCTCCTGTGCTGATTAGTCGACTATTGATTGGTAACGCTCCCGACTACTGGTTGAGGATTTTTTGTTTATTTTTTAAAATTTGCATCCCTGCTTGGAGGTTTTCTCTAAACACGAGGAGTCAGATCTTGGTATGAATAAAACACAGCCCAGAACTAACTGGATTTGTGTATTCGGCGAAGCAGCAAGTAAACGTCTGATCCCAGCGGTTGATGCTTGATTTTGTTTTTTCTGACACGTGTGAGTCAGAACACGAAGTTTGACATCCAGCGTTGTCGCCTCTCTAATCAGCTCGGCAGCAACAGCCTCCACAGATCAGAGGTGATGCAACCGTCTTAGCATGGATGTAAAAGAGCTCCAGTCAGGACGCAGCCACACAGCTGACTGACTGATGCAAGCGGTTCAGCCTCTGAATGATGCATCGGGTGACTGCAGCCTCCCCAATGAGCTCATTCTGCCTGAATATCTTCCATAGATTCCCCTCCCTGCAGGGACCATCGGTCCTGCATCGCCGACGTCGCGTCTTTCATCACAGCTGAACGCTCCTCATCGTAACCGGAGGCCGAACAGCAGCTCACAGGAACGTCGGTTCTCTGCATCGTCGCGTCTTCAGTGTCCGAGCAGCGAGTCGCAAACAAATAAACAGTCGAAGGGGAATCGTCGGCTTTCTCGACTAAAGACAACAAAGAAATAAATCTCTGCACAGCTTTAACCCTCTGAACTCCAAAACCCAGCGGCGGGTTTGAAGGGCTTCGATCTTCAAAAATAAATCCAAATTACACCATTAGCCGGAGTCACAAACTGTTAAAAACGCAGAAAGAATCGCAGGATTTTCAGTTTTCTTACGTTCCTTAAAGTAACTATGTTGGAAACCAAATCCAACCTCAAAATCGTGACATTTCATCTCATACACTCTATTTGGCTTCATGAATTTCATCTACTTCCTAAATAGATTTAAATCTGTTGTGGGCACCAAAGAGAGAATTTCATATCAACAGCAGTAACAACAAACACTTCTCTACAGGTAAGGAGGAGGCATTACCATCGCAGGGCGATCTTGATGGGCGTGGTGAGGCAGGAGGTGAACAGGTCCGCCGGGAGGTCCGGGTTCATTGGCAGCAGCTCGCTGGCCTCGCAGGCCGCCAGCTGGATGCAGTTCTTCATGGAGGGAGGCAGCGGCATCTGGGCCAGAGGGTGGCTGGGATTGATGGCCGCCACCTGCAGGGGGGACACAACGGTCAGCGTTAGCTTCAGTCGGCGTTAGCGTCGGTCGGCGTTAGCGTCGGTCGGGGTATTTGTTCCTTTACAAATGCCCTGTTTTGTTAAATTACAGATAACAACAAGTAAATTCACAGAAAACAAGTCCTAACAATACGAATAAAAATCTGCATATTTACAAACAGCAACACATTGTTGGACAGTGTTTAAATCAGCAAAAAATAAAAATCATCAGTCACGGACATTTGCTGTTATCTGAAACGTGGAGCTACGATTTCTTGCCACAGTTTCGGGAACGTCTGTAGATAAATAAAACCATTCTACCTGCTGATTGTAGCTCAGATTGAAAACAGAATCATCAAAGAAATATTTTTGTCTGTTTTATGAAGCTGGAGTTCAGCTTCAGCCTGAATCTGCTGAATCCAGCCGTGCAAAGCTTTCAGAGCCTCAGTCGACGCTCTGCAGCGTCCAAAAGGTCGAACGCTTTCTCTGAAATAAGTGGGGCTGCGATGAAAACCCAATTTAGCGCCGAACAAAGACGGAGCGCCGGCGTCGCGGCGGCAGAGTCAGAGTTTAGACACGACGGAGGCAGAAGATCAGACGGGAAACGAAGGCTGGAGGCCGACCGGAGAGCCGACGCAGGAGGTGAAGGCGAGGAGGCGAAAACAGAAAACAGACACGAGAAATGTGAAGCGAACGTGGAGTCGGTGCAAATGTCCGACAACCATGAATTAATTAAAGTTTAATCACTTTAAAGTGTTCAACGTGCAGCAAAATGTTCAGTGTTTGTTCGTATACGTGACAGTTTGGCTTCAATGTAAACGTATTAACTGTGTTTTACTGAAGCAGATGTTGAACACGGTTCTGAACTTTAATCGGTCCGATTAGAATAGAACAGAATTCATTTATTGTCTTTGCAAACTTCTAAAAAAAGTCAGTTTTTCAACCCCTTGTTTTGCTGCATCCTTCAAGTTTTTAGTCCCCGTCGACGCCGAGTCCCAGTCAGATACCGTTTTTATAGATAATTTAAGCAATGTAGCTTAGCTGCAGTACCTGGTTGCGCCACCAGGTGGAGCATCTCCAGTTTGGCGAGCAGAGAGCAATGTGGGGGTTTAGCGACTAAATGGGCGCCATGACCTCGTCCTCCGTGACGCTGACCGACCTCTAAACGGACACTTACATGTTGAAGCACGCTGAGATGAATGAAGACGTTATTTTCCAGCTACATGAGCGTCGCTGCTGCTGACTGAACATCTGACGGACTTGTTTGAGCTGCATGAAGCTGCATGAAGCTGCTCACCGTTCACCACATTAAACATTTAAACACTAAGTTTGGAAAACAGACAAAAAGAAACTAACTTGTGTTTATGGACAGTCTGGGACGAGCAATAAAAGTTTGTTTCTCCACCGTTTGTCTGCAGAATAAAACACCAATCGGAGCTTTTGTTTGTTTGTTTGTTTCCTTGTTGACGTTTCTGATCGCTAACGGAGAGGAAGCGTTTAGCAGGTGGTCTCCGGCGGTAAACAAACCTCTGGTCGGCCGGCGCGTGATGTAAAACTTTAATTACGCCGCCGACTGTTTATGTGCGGCTGAGTCGGGTTCGATATGGTTCCTGTCTGGGCCCCTAATGAGCCGCGGGTCTCAGAACCAAACGCTTCCCTTCGTCATCGCCCACGGCTGCTTTTCTCTCCGTTAGCGCCCTAATTTTAGTCACGAGTTAACCGGAGAGATGAATGCGCTGTTAACATCGTTTCTTATGCAGAACAAACAGAACGTTAAACGAACTCTGCAGCAACGCCGACGGTGAAGAACGGACCACGTGAAACAGCAGGAAGGCTTCTGATCCCACCAGAACCACCAGAACCAGAGGAATTCTTCATAAACTCAACGTTTTTTAATCACTGTGGGCTCATTGTTCTCTGCAGCATGAAGTCCTGCAGCTCTACAGAAACAGAACCAGATCCAGAACCAGAACCAGAGGCAGAGGCAGAGGCAGACAGAACTCAGACACGACGTCTACGAAGGTATGATGCAAAAAAAACGCCAAAAAATAAAAAATAAAGTTGAATTTCTCTGATTATTTACTTTATAATGACTGAACAAACACTGAATCAACACGTACAACGTTCTCGTGCCCACAGGGGAAAGAATAAACATGATTCTGCACTTTTATTATTTTACTACTCGTGTTTTTATTCATTTACATTCGTACACGTCCTGCAGTTCAGCCGAGGAGTCGCTGAATTTCTGTCACGTGACCGTTGGTCACAGCCGAGTCACTGACGGCTTCTCGGTTACGTTAAGAAATGTAGAATTTTTTGTTATTTTTTTCCAGAATCTGCCTTCTGCTTTCATCCAAATGTTTAATTTTTGGGGAATTTAAAAAAACATAAAAAAGACTGAAGCCAAAGCTACAGTCGTGACTAGAAGGTGTTCACGAGTGTTTTTGAAATGTTTAAATACGACTTGATTCAGATCAAATATAGAAATCTTAAACTTAGATTAAGTTCCTCGATGGTACCACGTGTTAACCGTGACTAGTTCAAGGACCGCAGGAAAGTTGAAAATCAGACGAATATTTCAGTTTTTGTCGGTTCTGGCTCTAATAAATGGTTTAATTTCAGCTTTTATTTATTCACTTTGTGTCGTTTATCTGCAGCATCGGTCCAATAAAAACACTCCTGTTTGAAATCTAACTAACTGATTACTTCAAGGACCGTCTGGGTTTTTCCGCACAGAACCGTTTTCCACAGAATCAAACATTTTGTTTTTCAAATTTAAAAGTAATTTGATGAAAAATCACATTTGAAGCTGAGGTTTGGTCACATTCTCCAACCTGATGGCAAAAACAGTTGAAAATCTGACTGTCTTCTGGTTTTGGGGCAGATTTTTCTGTAATTTGGGAGATTTTTGTTGTAATTACGTCACAGCTTTGGCTCACATTTCTCCAGATTAATGAAGAATGAAACCGTGCAGAGCTCAGAGCAGCACAACGTTTACATCAGTCCATCGTATCAGTCGGGCAGCAGGAGTTAGAAGAAGCAGGAAACCAGCAGGAATCCGACGTTGTGCCTCCTTGTTTGGATGTTTAACGACATTTTAACTGATCTCACAACGAGTTTTAAGGTGAATCATCTCCAGTGAAGCTGATGTTTGAAGACGATCACCTAAACGAGGGATGTCTACGAGACGAGACGCACCGCGAGCTTCGTTTGCTGAACTTCTCGGGATGTCACAGAAAACTTTCCAACAGCTGCATCGAGTGAATTCCACTTCAACGTGGCAGCTTGAATTTTAAAAACATATCACATAACGTACAGCTGGACGGACATAAATCACAATCCGTAGGAGCTGGAGACGCTCAGAACAGCTGTTAAAATGCTGCTAAAACGCTTCTCGTGCTCGCAAACGCTTCTGGGACTTCAGGCGGATGTGAGAAACCTTCCGGCGTTAAAATACGCTAAAAGCTCCGGAAAAATCAATCGGCACCGTTAAGTACACGACCATCGTACGAGCAAAGACGGACGTTTCTGGAAAACCTGGAAATAATCACAGGGTTTAAGGAATAAAAGACGCTGAAGAGGATTCATTTTTGGTCTCAGAAATACTTCATAGAACCAGAAACACGGTGCGACGGCAGCATTTCAACAGAGGACGACGAATCGAGTCCAGTTTACCGACGACAGATCGACGTGGAGGCGAAGAGTTCATGCAGCTCGAGTGCTGCTGTGATTAAAGCAACACGAGACCAAAAAACACTGAATTATTCTGAGTTCACGGACATTTTATCGCTTTTAGAACTCTACAGAGGTCGATGCTGTTCGTCGTGTTCAGACGTCTCTGCGTTGAATTTAAAACACGAGTGTTTCTGCTGCTCGCTGCAGCTTTCATCGGAACAAAACTTTAGCTTAACATTGTGTAATTTGTAGGGGCGGGACTTTAACGAGTAATTAACGTGGTTAAGTCCCGCCCCTGATGTACTTTAACACTTTATTAATTACAACAAACATTTTAAAAAATAACGCACTTAATCGCAGTTTGCATCCAGACATGGAGCGTTTGTCGGAGCCTGATTTCATGGTCCACCGATCACATGATGCTACGCTAACAACAACAAACATGGAGGAATCCGATGAGAGCGCATCGCTTGGACTGATCGAGCTTCATTTTAAAAAACCTCGACAAGATCCCGGTTTAGTGCAAAAAAGAATGTGCATCCAACACATCAAGCTGACGGTACCGGAATGCAAACCGCCAGAGCTGTTAGCGCTAGCGGTCCTGGTCTGAGCACGAGCGAGCGGCGTCGGCAGCCCACACTGGACCACGTGACTGGATTCAGAGCCGAAATTAGTAAATCGAAGTCTGAGAAACTCACAAACTCGCTTCAAATTGGATGGACTGTAGAAGGGTTTAGAACACGTGCTGCAGAGAACAACGGATTCTTTAAACGCGTTATTTTTGTTTTAATTACTTAATTAACGCGCTAAAGTCCCCCCTCTGAATAAAACACGTCCCATTAATAAAGTAAACGCAGCACGGTTCAGAAACGGTGAGCAGAGGTTGTTGAGGACCCGTCCAGCAAAGTGACACCGGTTCCAGGTCGATGCGCCGTTAGCTAAAGTTGGAGCGGCCATCTTTTATTTCTCCAGTATTTCTAACACATGCAGACACCTGATCCCAGGTTTCTTCATTTTTAAAAAGTAAACAATCAAATATGTTCAACCTTAAGTGTTTTTGTTTTATTTTTTAGCATTTAAAACTTCATCCTGCACAGGAGGTGTTTGTTTACGGCGACAAACGAGGCCAAACGTGACCGGGGCAAAGCGACGACCTGCGGCGGCCATGTTGGACGACTTCTACGAAGCTCGTCGATCCCACACACGTGACAGAACGCCACCGAATCCAAGCTGCTGAATCCACTTCCTGGACGTCCCCACCACAAAAATCTGATGCAAGCGGCGGTAAAGCTTCAGCACCGGAGGCGAGAGGCGAGGCGGCG